TAAAAAAAAATTACAAAGTACAAAAAGCCAAACAAGAAAAATCAAATAGAAATAAACCATTTCAATTGAGTTTCTAAGATTTTACTAAGATGGGGTTACCCAATCTTAGTAGAATGCCATTAAATACAAACAAAAACACATTGTGAAATATGGTACACAATCCAAACATATACTCAAAACAAAAATACAAGAACAAAATCCAAACAAAAAAAGAACGACACTTTATTGATCCTTTTTCAATCAAGAATATGGGCCACAAGTACTACCCTAAACTTGAAATAATTTACAAGAATAAAAAAATCAAAGAAGGGGGAAAAAAACACTAAACCAAGCCTTTATGAATATCATATAAACCATAAACAAAAATAAATAAAATATATGGACCTTTTAATTCCCACTAGATCGTGGCTCAAACCGATGACGGGTGAGAGCCAAAGGTCTTCTTTCACAACCAAATCGACCCACAAAAAGTTTCAGATTGATTACTTTTCGATTTCGCAACAAATTAAAAACTTCAAGAAAATTTTTAATCTTCAAAAAGTCTAAAAAAATATTGAGTAGCGTTTGGGAAGCTTAAAATGCCCCCTAAACCCTTTCCCCCTCTTTGCCGGGGGGGGGGGGGGAAATGATATTTTTTGTTGTTAACAAAGGGTATATTTCCACCATCTACCCAAAGGGCATTGGGCGCCACCTAAAAGGAAGGCACCCAGCCTCGGTGCCTAGGCGCTTATGCAGGCAGGAAAGGCCTTTGGCCGCTTAGGCGTCCAAGTGGCCGAATTTTTTAACATTGGCCAACTAGGGGGCCAGGTAGCTGAATTTTTTAACATTGGCTGTAGCAGTCAATGCTAAAGCCCAAAGAGCCCCTCAAACATGTAAAAAGCAGCTGAAAAATAGCATTTATAGTATTTTAAGGGGTATGGACCTTTTTTGCTGTACATACACAATAGCACCAATGCCGATGGCTTGGTTGGCTCCCCAAGTGGGCCATCTAAGTTGCATAGATGTTGCGGCCTTAGGAAACCCATGCAAAGCCAAAAGTCGAGGCATCATTATGTGGTGTGCAGAAGCTCAGCTCTAAACCCGATGGGTTAATTTTTGGAAAATAAAATGCAAGAAATAAAATATGAAACACATACCACAAGAACACAAAGATTTACTTGGTCCACCCTAGAAGGGCTATATCCACGGGCATGACAAATTGAAATCTACTATACCAATGAAAGTTACATCAAAGATTTTGGGACATAGAGTTACTTCTCTAACCCTCGACAAAATCTAGTGGAGCAAACCCTTTTAAGACACTCTCCCGACTGACACCACATGTCGTTCTTCCTTCTGTTTACTTCTGGCAACCATTACAGACAACTCTAGATCGAGACGAGCGAGCAACGAGAAACTAACTCTCTCTCCAACTAAAAGGGGAAACCACCCAAAATCTCCATGGGAACCGCTTCTCTACAAGAAAACAGCCTCTCAATCTTGAGGAGTCTACAGGAGGCATCATCGCAATGTTTCTCTCCATAGGAAGCTCTCTTCTCTCTAAAGGAAAATCTCCTCTCTCTAAAGGGAGACCTTGCAAAGGAAGCCCTACCCCCCTCTCTCTCTAGAGGAAGCCACCTTTCCCATATGACCCAAATAGGGCACACAAATTATCTACTCTTTCATCCCATACATATAAGGTTAGGAATCACACTCAATAAGAAACTTTCTATAGATGTTACATATATCTAAAAACCAAGAGATATATCCAAGAGTCCTAATCTTATTAGATTTCTATTTGCTTTAGGAAACTTATCAATATCAATCTCAATCCCACAAATATGGGATTTCTTTATGTGGGTAGTTTTGGATAGCACCAAATCCAACAATCTCCACCTTGATATCAAAATCACCTGCTCACCATGCCAACATCCATTGGATAGCTTCATAAAATTCTTCATCTTTTGCCACATAAATTTTTTCATCATTCTTGCTAAAAAACAGTGTTTGTCATCAAATTCTCCGCCTCAAATCTTGTAATCGAAACCTTTACAGCCTTTCCGAAACCACAAACCAGGCTCTAATACCATTTGTTGTGCACAGAAGCTCTAAATCTGATGGGTTGATTTTTTTAGAAAATAAAGTACGAGAAATAAGAACCGACAAAAAGAAGAAACATGCAGCAAAAATAAAACAAAAAAAAAATAACAGAAAATGAGAACACCAAAATTTACGGGGTTCATCACAGATGTGACTACATCCATGGGCGAAGACGATCGATGTTTTCCACTAAATCAAATAAAAAAAATTACAAGGCACTTACTTGAGAGAACCAAAAACACAAAGCTCAATGTCCCACAGAGCCTTCTCTCTAGAAAACCCCCAAAAATTTCTCTCTATAATATATCTCAATAGAGAGTGCGAGAGAGATCAAACGCAAAGTGCACCCCACATAGAGGCCTACTTTTTCCATATACGTTCTCTCTCTACAAAAATAGATTTATATATAGAAGAGAAAACCCCAAAGACAAGTACATGAGAAGAACTTTATCCCTATTTTTTCTAACTTTATGGAATCTTGACTTTATCCAAACCAACTATGTAAACTTTCATGTTTATCCTAACCCAACTAGGACTAACCAAAAAAATAATTATCTTACATAATAGAAATTATCCAATTAAATAAGGAACCCACAATAAAAAGAAATTAATCCCATATAAAATGGAATCAAGACAAACTATTATCAACAAATACAAATAATGAGTTTGGTGACAAGGTTATTGGTTATGTTGAATCTAACTATAGGTTATGTGTTTACACTCAGGAGCTCCAATCAATTGGAACCGTGGTTGCCTTGTCTACAGCTAAAACAGAATACATGGCAGTTACTGAGGCAGTGAAAGAAGACATTTGGCTTAGAGGGCTTGTAAGTGATCAGAGCTTACGACAGGATGGGACTATTATTTATTGTGATAGGTAGAGCGCAATGCATTTGGCAAAGAACCAGGTATATCTTGTAAGCACGAAGCATATTGATGTCAGGCACCATTTTATCCGTGAGATAATAGCTGCAGGTAATATCTTGTTACTGCTAATTGACACTAAAAAGAATATTGCAGATATGTTGATAAAACCGGTTCCATTACAGAAGTTCAAGCTATGCTTGGACTTGACTAATGTGTTGCCAAGATAAACACCTATGGGGACAAGGGTGGAGAAAACGGTCGATGGGAATCTCTTTTGGAATTCAAGCTAAGGTGGTGATTTGTTGATAATGATTTGTCTCGATTCCATGTTATATAGAATTAGTTCTTTTTATTGTGGGTTTCCCATTTAAATGGATAGTTCCTATTATGTAAGATAACTATCTTTTAGGTTAATCCTAGTTGGATTAGGATAGATATGAGAGTCTACATAATTAGTTTGGATAAAATCAAGATTCCATAAAGTTACAAAAAATAGCGATAAAGTTCTTCTCACGTACTTGTCTTTAGGATTATATCTTCTCTATATAAAGTAACTTTTGTAAAAAGAGAAAGCATATGAAAAAAGCAGGCCTCCACGTGGGGTGCACTTTGGGTTTGTTCTCTCTCTATTGAGATATATTGTAGAGAGAAAGTGCATAGAAAGAGGGAAACTTTTGGACGTTTTCTAGAGAGAGGAAATTGTAGGGAGAACAAGGCTAGCTTGGAGATTGAGCTTTGTATGTCTGGTTATCTCAAGTAAATGCGTTGTAATTTTTTTTCTTTGATTTAATAAAAAACATCGATCGTCTTCTTTTTTTTTTGGGTGAGGTAGTTAGGAAAGGGCCCCTACCCTTTGTAGGAATTAAGCCTAGGACGTAGCGTTGCAAAACGTCAAGCTCTAACCAATTAACCCCAAGCTCTTTTTCTACATTGATCGTCTTCGCCCGTGGATGTAGCCACATTTGTGACAAACCACATAAATTCAAATGTTTTCTTTTTCTATTTCTTCTTTCCTGTTTTATTTTTCTTGCTTGTTGCTTGTTTTAGTCAGCTATTTTTTCTCGTACTTTATTTGTCAAAAAATCAACCATCTTTCATGCACAACACATTCGTGATCACAATCACTATTTTGTGTTTTGTTGCTCCTTCCCAGTAGGAAATGACTCGAATAATGCGACCGAATTCAAGGCTTGAAATTGGGAGTTGAGCTGCTCAAGTAACTCAATTGCAACAATATCAAGATTGAGAGAGACTCCATATTGTTGGTAGGCTTTATGACAAGCAACTTCACTCCTCCTTAGCATCTTCACATACTCATACGCAATTGTGTGTGATGGTTATTTGGTGTATTATCCACCTATGCAGGGAAGTAAACCAAGTCTCTGATTACTACAATCTGGCGTGCTAGACCGAAGGATTTCATTGCCTTATTTCAATATTCAGATGTAACAAAGGATGGCTGTTACGAGGTGGTCTTTCCTCGAAACAGTGACCCTCCAAGCCCCTAGATTTTGGATATTACGCCTGTTGGTTTTTTGCTATTTTGGGCAGTAGCCTACTTGTGTAATTTCTGTTGTTATTTTTTCTCTCTCCTCATAACTTCTATTCTCTCGCTCCTATTATCTGGTAAAAATTGCATTCTGAGCACCCAACTTGTGGGATTGCCAACTTTAGTATTAGCACTGTGTAAATTCTTTTATCAATATAAAGTTAGCCTTCTTCCCAAAAAACAAAGGATGCCCCCATAGTAATATCTTCTCAATTTTTTCTTACTGAAAAAGAGGCCGGGGACCTTTTCCACACTGATTTAACCCTCCTAAAAAAAAAAAAATCATTCTTTTTTTTTAAAGGATGATTTCCCACACCAGTTGCAAACTGAAACTACATAACAAGTGGGCAATACATGACAAATTTCAAAGAATTTTCCTGTCAATGTTACCTGTCATTAATTAAAATAATATCACACCACATCTCGAAACAGAATTGCAGTCAAAAGAAAGCATACAAACATACTGAAAATGAAAAAGTGCATCCATGTATTATTTACCTCATACCATTTGGGTAGAGTATGATGGATTCCCAATCTGTTGACTCCAGATTACAACAGCTGTCATCCCTAAAAGTCAAACAAAATCCAAAGTCAAAAAGAATCAAATATTTAAGGCATAATGTATGTTGCAAAATGCATACAAGTTCACAAAATGTATATTAAAAATTGCAACATACACAAACATTTAAAAAAGTAATTAATTTGAGTAAAACAAGTGAGGCTCAACAACAATAACTGTTCTCGGGTTTTGAAAAAACAAAACGTTCGTTAAGCCCCACAAACTTCACAGCGAAAATAGAAGCAATTGCATCTAAAGGCAAATCAATAGTTTCTCATTCCATTTTAAAAACTACATAATAGTAAATTACTGCTACCTCTACGAAATGATATAGAAAACAAAGTCGGTTAAAAAATAGCTTTTCAAAATATTTTCTCGAGGTGTACAAGAAAAAAGAAGACAACTAGACTATATAATGTGAGGAATCATTCTAGAAAGACGAGCACCATACAGAACTTCGCCCACTAAAAATGATATTGCCATATCAAATATGATAATATTTCCCCACAACACCAATCAACCTTATCTCAAAAAAAAAAAAACGGACAAAAGTATTTTCCCATAACACATGCAATTGCTGTGAAGCCTTCGTATCTTAATGCATGTATTTCATTTATTCGGAGCTATTAGAGCGTACGTCATTAGTCCAATCCTTTGTAGGAACTACCCATAATAATGAGCTTGCAAAATGGATCTGTGCATAATCTGACCCTTTTTTGGAGAACAATATATCCCCCGTATAGAGCTTCTATTCGATCTATGAACAAAATGGGTCCGGATCTCCTGCAGGAATGGTTTGGAAGATCCAAAAATAGTGGTATTTGCTAGCAACAACATAATGGAGGCAGTCAATCAATATTACAGACACCTAGGACATAGACACCTATCAGCTAAGCAATCCATGAGAAGGGGATGTCATGAAGCAGCAAACTAATTCCAGTTAATGTCAAAAATGTGCTAGCTGCGGAAACCTAAGAGTCAAAGAACTCCATAGAAGTGGGCCGCAGTACGTACTTGATGATAGAAAGGTTATTAATCTCAACTATTCATTTTTAGATTTTTAGTTTTCAAACTTTCTAAGCCTGCCCCATTCAGAACAGTCAGACAAAGCAGTTTGTCCACTACACCACAGCTTCAAAACCTAAGCTTGACAATCAAGAAAGATGGGAACACAAGTGTGCCCCCCATACATTCCATTCAAAACAGAAGACTTGAAATGTGTCAATTGAAAGACTAATGGGGAGTTCATAGAAGATACTAGAGTCAAGTCTTTCCTCTAAAATAGGCGAAGAGCAAAGGCAAGAGCATCATCTCCCATTTGCAGGATGCTTCTGGTAAGACCAGACAAATTCCTGATGTGATGTGAGTTGTCTGCTAATATCTACACCAGGATCAGAAGCAAGGCCTCCCATCATTGCTAATGAGGACAAATTATATGCCCAAGTCCCAAGTCAAATGCAGTTTCTTGGGAAACTAGTTGGAGAGGACACATTTCCATCACGGATACCTAGGTTGATGAGGGAGAGTATTTATCAGGCCTTCTACAAGGCTTGTTGCATGGTCTCCTGAAGGCTTTTCCAAATGTACTCATGAGATCAAGCCAGGGATGATTTCCCTTTTCCACTTACACATTGTTCCCCCTTTCCCATTTGCCACCATCTTTGAGATCCTAAGGTTTTTTCTTTTTACGAGGAAAAGTGTAGGGGCCCCAAATTGTTTATAAGACAACTAATCAAGGAATTATCGGAGGAACTCAAAATCAGTTTCAGCAGGGAGGACACCTCCTATGACCCATAGCTAACCTGCGGGCACTAAATTCTAACATTATTTGAGGATGATTCTAAGATGTCACAAAGGCAATATTCGTCTTGAGAAGCAACCTATGAGCATCGTCCTCAGAGTCAGTGGTGCAGGCTGTAAATTCAAGAAGGCTTTTGCCATGATGGGTCATGGGATATAAAGTTGAGATTCAGTTGAGGCGCTCTTGGTTGCCCGTGCGTATCGGCAAGGCTAGAAAAGCTTCTAGAACCTAAAGCTTAAAAAATTTGAATGAAGGCTAGCCCCTTGCAAGAGCCAAGTCAACTATTAGGCGAGAGATTACTCTATTAAATGACTCCTTAAATTCTTGTCTATAATATTTCCTCCTTACATATCCTGCCTCGGTTCCCAGAAATTGGATAGAATTCAAAAGGAGTTCCATAAAAGACAACGAGAGTCACAAGTGCCATTTGGTCAAGCAGGGGGAAGTCCAAAATACTACAGCTAGGAAGAGCCATTTACACTAGTGGCATTTGTTGCAAGGAAATTCTACTAGGCTAGTGCTCCTGCCCTATAACCATGTTTTCATATTTCAAGAGCAAAGTCACAAGGGAAACCTATTCCTTTCCTATCAAGGATGTGCTCCCAACTACCTAAGAATAGAGTCCTTATAACTATTTAGAAAAACAGAATAATTCTCATTTCAAATAATATGTAAATTATGGCGTAACAAGCACCCCCATTGGAATTACCTACCACCAACCGGCAGCCTTTGACTCTTTTTCTAATGCCAATCTTAGTCTCAAAGAGCAGGGATACCAGTTTTAGAACGTTCATTTTCACCCCATATACGAGTAACATACTGAGAAAGAGCCACAGGTCCCCTTGGATAGGAATAGTGAACAGGACTGGACCAGGCATGGTTAGCAAATCAAAAACCTTGACCTAACTCAGGAAGGCCCCGGTTCTGGTTGACAGCGATGTGACCTGGTTGACTAGACTGGATCATAAAAGGAAACATACAGATGTTATATAACCCCAACGAGACCAAAATTTAAACATAACTTTGACCCAAACAGATTTTTCTTCAGTCGATTAGCCCTCACCAACTCTTGAAAGACCGATCAGTTGTGCAAACGAAATCCTACAAAGAAGGGTATCAGGGAGGTGGTGCCTGAGAGAAATGGAAGGGGGATAAAGACACAACAATGCACAATAAGTTTGTAGGGGCGAGTGATATAACTTAGGATTTCAATCAACAGGAATGCATTATGATAAGGGATGGGGATAAAATTAATTTCTTCAAGTGTGATGCAGCTAGAGGCCCTTAACACCCTTTCCCACATCTAGCCAGTTTAATTTATCCACAGTCGTAGATTAGAAATTGCATGGAGAGGAGTAGGAATTTTACAATTTCTGATCAATAGAAACAAAGAGAAGGTGGACTAGGGAGAAAGTTTTCCAGGTGTCCAAGGGAAGAGTGCATCCTAAGTATGGATACAGACAGAAGACCATGGAAGTGAGACAACATATAAAGCTTTTCAGTCAAATCCTGTCATAAGATTATCTAGTATCTAGGAACTGAAAAGTCCCTCAAAGTTCAAACTAAATGCATATTCAGGCACAGTCCAGTGTCTCTTCAATGATTATGGTCACCCTAAATAAAATTTGTACCATGGACTGCCTCCAAAGATGAGGATAGCAAATTCTACCTGCAGGTTTTTGTATGTTGTGTGGTTGAGAAACATGTGGTTACGTCCCTTAACAATAACTTTCAAAATGTTCTTTCCCAATACTAACTCCAGAGTACCTGGAGACTATTCGGGTGGGTCACTTAAATAATGACACACTCATTCAAATACTTCCTTAGCCCCAGGATATTAGCAAGCTCCAGGATACTTGTGATACAACCAACCAAAGGCAGGAGGCATTCCTGAAAGCCATTGTTTTTTTCCCGTCGAGATCATAACAGAACAAATCTAGTGACTTAAGGACCGGACATCTATCTAAATGTTCGTGTTTTTTGAGACCAAATCAGCTGGCGTTCTATCAAGCACAGATCCCTTAAACTTTAACCCAGCTAAAGGTAACACAAGAACAAAAGGATGAATTCCAGCATCTTATAGGAATCTAGATGAATTCCAGCAACGAAGGCAACAACTATTAAAAAAAAAAAAAAAAAACGAAAGACAACAGATGCAAAGCTAAATGCCAAATTTCAGTTCAAAAACCTATGTGGCACTCAAATTAGCTTGGCAAGCAATTTGAACAGAACACTGACATCGTGCCACACTAAAAGTCAAGGAAGCCAACCCAACAGGACTAATAGCAGGCACTAATACTGCACTGACCGAACAATACTATTCGGAAATGGAAGTCTTGGCTTCCACCTAGGAAAACTGTGCATGCTTGAAACTATAGTTGGCCTGCAAACACTAGAATCAAGCACATTGAAATAAAAAAACAAAAAATAGTGTCCTGGTCCAAAAAATGGTACAATAAACCAAATCAGACTCCGAATCACTGAAGATAAATTTGTATGAACTATAAATTAGCAATAATGAAAATATTAAAAAGGCTATGGCACTTACTTGACAAAGAAACTCATCCAGCTGAATTTTCTTGATGGTCTTTCTCCTCCATTGATCATTGAAATCTTCAAAATGCTGTCCGCAAAATGTTCACACCACTTGCTGTTGTATATATATAAGGTATCGGTTTTTCTGTCCCTATTCCTAGAATCCACAGTTACTCGGAATGGGAAGCGTGAACTCGTTGGTTACCAGTACACATGGCAAGACTCACCTATTAAATACTGGGGTGTTTGGACAAGCCATAATATTCCAGTGGATCACTAGTCCACATCTTAGAAGACGTGTTTGCTTCTGGATGTTCTAAACCTATGCATTACAGATTAACTTGGAAATAACATGAATGCATCTTTGCGCCTCACTGACTTTTAAGAAGGCATTATATACTACATTACTGATTTTTTCATGAATATATATATCATAGTCATCACCTGGCCACAATTGTGATCTATTTTGTTTGATTTAATAATAGCATTAGGTTTCTCTTTTCTGTCCTTAGGAACGACCAATCTCTCTTGCACAATGGTCCTAATGAATAAGGCTTCCTTGCATATATGGGATAAAGAAATTCCTATTTCTGGAACTTTTCTATCTTTGACTAAAAATGAGAAATATAATACTTCCATGATTATTTTTGGTTTTTTAATTACAAGTTTTTACTATAAAAAATGTTTTTTACTGATATAAATTTAGTGATTTCAAAATAAACTGATCTTCACATAATCGAGGCCAAGGTTTTCTTGCATATAAAAGACTAAGATAGTTTACTTCACATGATTAGGCCAATAAATAAGGTTTTCTTGCGTATAAAAGACTAAGTTTATAAACTTTTGAATTTTATTGATCTTTTATTTTCAAATAGAAAATAAACAACATAAAACTCTCTTAAATTTATTATTTTCTTATTATGATTTTTATCGATAAAAAATTACAAATTTAAAAGGATTTAGAATATGCCTTATTCGCAATATTATCCGCTTAGCTCTCTTTTCTTTCTTTGAGAGTAAGACACCAAGTTATCTCTAACAAAAAATAATTATTCACCCAAAAAAACAAATAATTAACTTATATCCACATGGGGCTTTCCTGTGAGCGATGCACAGTAGGGAACTAGCTAATTTCTAATTATGACTGGCCAACATTTAACAAAAGGTTGTAAAGAAACACTCTATCTGGATTGCCAACTGAAAAGGATTACCACTACCAAAACAATATACAAGATAAATACCAACAGGAAATTGCCTAGTGACCAAATGATTGACCCCTGTTGTCTCCATCACGGCTAAACCATTCCCTGAGCACAGAGAATATAAACATACATACGCATGTATCAAGACACTATGAGATGATCCAGAAAGCACATAAACTCCACGAATTAACGGTTCCGAAGTTCAAACACTAGTAGGCGACGGTCAACTAATCAAACAGAATGGGTTGAACAATAAACTCAAACCACGAAGAGTCGAACATGAAGCTGAACCCACAGCTGCAGACTGCAGAAAACAACCAGGTAGGAGGGAATAACCCAAAAAAAACAAAAAAAGAAACAAAAGAAAAGCCGAAATCATCAGAGTTTAAAACTGGCAATCATGTTGAAACTTGTATGTTACCTTCCCACGGCCCAAATAGAAATTCCATGCATCTGTAAAGCAGTTCAATCCAAACTACATACCTGAAAATTAGAAATGAAGAAATTCCACTTGCATTTGATGCATACATAAAAAATGCGATCATGCCTAAAATGCATGATAACCGTGATTTGACAAAACCTTGGAACAAGCAAAACTGCAAACTAGATGAGAGCCAAACCAACACCAGATTGGGCATATGAGAATCGGTCTTAACAAAAAGAGAATACAACTCCAATATCCAGTCACGGACATGCTCCACCAAAGACTAGATATGACAGACTCAGGCAAAAATGGCACCCATTCCTAGTGGTTTCAGACATTAAGAATTCAAACCAGATGGAATTGTGATCCCATACACCAAGAAGAGATACAGAATGTTAAGGGGGACACAACCATAGGATGCTAACTGACACTACCCTGAATTACGACACTGATACAAAACACAGGCGAATCCCAAATTAGGTGCCAGGGATAACTCTTAATGATGAGCCAAATGAGCCAATGGTTGCCTTTTCCAAACCAGTAAACCCCAAGCATGAAGTTATAAACTGTAAGGCCTAAGCATGGAGTAATAAACTGACGGCCACCTCTATCATCACATCATCACATAGACTAGCCATGCCATATTAAATGTTTCCAACAATTCTAGAAACATTCTAAAAGCCAAACAATTTTATTTTTTATTTTTTCGATTGGCACAGTGAGCTAGACAGCTTATCCTAGACGAGGAAAACAAGATATGATGCTAGAACGAAATCCTGCCCTTGCTATTTAATAGAGTGTACGAGACTTTTAACATTTTAGTAAGAATTTACAAGGCCACCAAAGGTATTCCAAGACCATAATAGAAGGCACAATAAAGAGAACATAAATTCATAACATTCATGTGCTACATTCCTCAGAAATCACAAGTGAGATCCACCAAAAGAGAAAGACCCATGTAATGATAAAATAGCACATGGTCACAAAAAACAGAATATTAATCAGAAAGTATTCTTCCACTGGCAAAACAGATCATTCACTATTCAATACGCACAATCAACATTCTTCCTAAGATGAAAAAAAAAATAGACCAGTAAAATGCAACTGCTACAGACCCAATTTACGCAGCCTCAAAGTCATAGCTGATGATCCCTACAAAGTATTGTATTCGCCACAGGAGAGCATGACATTGAATACTTATTTATCTACGTACATGAGCTCGTTGCATGTCATATGCACCCCAGGCACTAGCTCCAGGCCCATACTGGGGTGCACCTTCCGGTCCACCCTGAACCTAACATACCAGAAAAATGAATTGCATTTACAATGTAATCAAGAAATCCACATATCACAGAACACTGCAAAAGAATTCAAAGCAAAATTACCGCATGCATGCCATAAGCAGCAGGGTATGAGTTTCCACCATAACCCATCTCTGGGTTCCCGTAGTTTCCACCATAACCTGCACCTGTAGCTCCATAATCTGGTATCCATAAAACAATAAGAAAACAGAATAAATACCAGTGACCAGTGAAAGCCAAAAATTTTAAAGATGGAGTACCTGGATTTGCGGCTGCTGCAGCAGCACGAGCTCGCTTCTCTGCATTCGCAATCTCAGCTCTCAGTTTCTCCACCTCACGAGCCATGGCAATCAAATTCTTCTCCATAGCCTGACCCTGCTCATAGTTGTCAGCATGCCCCTTCTTCTCGTACTCAATGGCAGCCCTGTATGGCCACAGAAAAAAGCAACCCCAAATCTTTAAGAATTCAAACTACTTGCAAAAAGATCCAAATGCCAAAAGGACCATCACGTTAAGATGCATGAGACGAAAAAGGAACCATCATAGTAAGAAACCAGAAATAACATACACCAATCAATAACCATTCAATTCTCTTCAACTGTACCTAGCTCTCTGTAGCTCCTGTTTCATGCTCTCTATTTCAGCCTTCAATGATGGGACCTGCTGCAAATCAGCATTGGCTCTCGTTGAGTCCTGAGTGAGGGCTTGGACCTGAGACGCCAGCTCCTGCCTATCCACATTGAGCTTCTGAATATCAGCACGCACTTGCAAAAGCTCATTTCTCATGGCATCAGCAGCTCGCAAGTCAGCCTCCATTTTCAAGGATTTCTCATAAACCTCCCTCAATTGCATATCTTTCTCAGCTTGCATTTTCCCAGCAGTGTGAGACATGTGTTGGAGCTCTTGTTGGGCAGCAGCCAATTCTTGCTTCAAGGCCACATGGGTGGCAGCCAATCGCTGGTTGTCAACAAGGAGACCTTGGATTTCTTGGTGTTGGTGAGCCAGCCTCTCCTCAATAATGGCAGGGTGTGGTGGGAGGGGGGGCCCACGACCAAATGGTGCCTCTCTCATTTCCTCAAGAAGAGCAGGATGAGGCATGGGAGCGGGACCCCGAGCATAGGGCATGTCACGCATAGGTGGTAATCCACGTGGACCGCCCTTGATCACATGGGAAGGCATGCGATTTCTTCCAGACATCTTGCTGTCAAATTTGAAGTTTAGCTCCTAAGATGAAAAGCGCATGCATCATGCAATCCAGATATGAGAAAACAAAAATTTGACTCCAGATACGAGAAAATTGGAAAAGGAGACCATGGGAAATGGTATCACACCAAGATAAAATGAGTATGAATTAGGAATTCCAATTAGAAGAAAAGAGGCAGGAAAGAAGGAACGCTATGAACCGATACACTGAAATAACGAGGATGGAAAAAGCAAAAGCATTGAATTACCAAAGTAAAAAGCAGCAAAGAAGGCCACTAGGAGATATGATTGCACCTCCATTATTAAACAAACCAAAAATACCATTACTTTCATAACTCCGACTAAAGATTGGGACTCACCCAAGTCCACTCGGCTCGGGCAGGTCCCAACTTTTATTTGAAAGGAACTAGGGAAGTTGGGAATAATGCCGTTTTTGTAACAGACTCAGGCGAGTCTGCAGCAGACTTGAGGAGCCAAATGTCCAGACTCAGACAAGTTCAAATCTAAAGCAAGTCTTTAGAGACTCATGAGTCTGCACCTCTTTTAGTAAAACATGTTTCCCGAATCCAAAAGGTAAGGTTTCTTAGGCAATTTCTTTCTTAATTAGTGCAAAGAGCTGGATCTTTTGGCCCATTGAGAGCCTGTTTCTGATTACAACAATTTTGGAACTCAAATAAACCATAAGATCCATTAATTTTAGGATCTTTGGGTAAGGATTTCTTCTGAAAAATGGCTCCCCCTAAATCCAAAATTATCATAAGTATGGGATGAGGATTTGAAGAACATTTTAAGCTTACGTGTCATTGAAGAAAAAGAACCTCCAACTGCCGGGTTTTCTTAATTAAACACCCTTCATGATTCTGAATATTAGGCGATACTTTTTAAGTTATTTTCCTTTTTTGTTTTAAATTTTGGTTGGGAAAGAACATGTGATGATGACTATGATGCAGTTAGAGGGACAGCATTGGAAATCAAATGGGTATGGTTTGCTATAACCCTAACCCTTTAGGGGCAAATATGCAAAATGCCGGAAATAAGTGGTGTTGTGCATTCAACTTGGAAAGGCTCCCCCTGCTCTCCAAATCCATTGTATGGCTAACGAGGCACCATCGCTAATACATTTCCAACAACACATCAGTACCTAGTGGAGTGTTCCCAAGTGAAGCCTCAAATATTTGTTTCTCAAAATACTTTGGGATATATAGGATTATTTTGTAGATCATCTACTTTTTGTGCCCCTCTTGCCATTTTTCAGAAAAAAACTCACAATAAATTTTAAAAAATTGCTCAAATATTACATACTGTCGAATTTTTAAAATAAAATTTATCTTTTTTCCCCTCAAGGTGTTCAAATCTCGTTGCATATAAGCCTTCTGATAAAATCTAAGGGTGCTCTATGTTTTACTTCTTTTTCTATTTTTCTTCAATTTTTCATATTGTTTCCATCTTTCTTTATATTTTACGGAAATTGCTACTCTATAAATATCGCGGACAAAACACATAGAGCCTGAGACTCAGCAAGTCAAACCGCCCAGGGACCAGCTAAATCCCAAAGCAAGTATATGCTTTAAAACATTGACAAACCGTAGGTCAAAAGACCTTCAAAAAAATATTACTTAATTCCTTACAATGTTAAAAAAGGATACAATAATTAGTGAAATGAAGACCTGACCAGACCTAGAACTGGTGGGCCCACCAGACCGTGGGCCTATCAAACCAGGGACACGAGGGAATACCCGGTTCGATGCCTAAATGAGCTTGTTCGGCAAATGCAGATAGAACCAGCCAGAACTGCTACAGTAAAATCTACATGGCCCGCTTCCCTTTTATTTTTCCATCAATTTTAGCCACTTTTGTCTTTTCCAACATCGTTTGAGGTGTTTTGCTAATTAGTGACATTTAGTTAGGGGGTGTTTAAAAAGTAAGTTTTTAAAGAGAGGGAGACTCTCCCTATCTACTTGAAACCGTTTGCAGCCTACTTTCCAGCAACTTTCTGAGAGGAGTTTGGCCACTCGTTCCACACTCTTCAACCTCCAAGTTTTGTTTGATTTTTTTTTTTATTTGATTAGTTTTATATTTAAAATAAACTAGAAAAATAATGTTTTTGGGGCATCTACAAGTAATGCATTTTTTTCCCAATGATTGCAATGAGTAGTTTTAGTGGGCTTATGGAATTCATTTGCCTATTTGGTAGATTTTATAACTTTTGTCAGATCATATTCCATATTCCTTTTTTCTTTTTCTTTTTTTTTTTTTGGGGGGGGGGGGGGCGAATGATTTTTTCTTTCATTTCTTTCTCAATGTCAAATTGGTACCATATCCGTAGACATGTTTATTATCTTGGATGCAATTGATGGAGGTATTTTTTATTGGAATTTGGAGAACAAATTGTGTGCCATTACTACGGATAATTGCACTTCTAATGATTTTGTTGTGAAAAAGTTAAAAGAGAATTAATCTGAAAGCTTTTACTTGGAGGGAATCACTCTCACATGAAATGTTGTGCACACATTTTGAACATCATAGTGCAAGCAGGGATGGGATTAATACATATTGCTATTGAAAGTGTGTGTGAGATTGTTAAATATGTGAATGCATCTCCATCAAGCATGCAAATATTTAATAAAATTGCACAACAATGCCAAGTAAAAAGGGTTTAGTCTTGGTTGTTCCCCCAAAATGACATAGATACATAACTTAAAATTTTGGTCAAAACATTGGAATTCAGTAATGCATCCACAAATCAGAAAGGTACAATGCGGATCCAAATATCCAATCCACTATACTATAACATAATAAATCCAATATCATGCTTTCCATCCAAGAGATTGTTGTTCCATAGTTCTTTGTCACTTCTTTGGTACTCAAAAAGAACTCAAAATGTCAAATCGATAGATCAGCCAGCAATATTCTAATCATGTTTTGGAATTCGAAAAGAAACAAATCTAGCCAATCCCATTTATTCAATACTATGATGGATAACAATATCAAAAACTCAGTAAAGGACCTAAAGAAAGTGAAAGCACAAGTCAGCCATCATAAAGACCCAAATTAAGCCACTGAGAGAAAGAGGACCACACTTGTTAATTTTGATAATTCGACTTATAAAATAATTTTCTATCATCAGCAGCTTCCCCGGAAAACCCCAATTAATTGGGAAAAGGCTTTGATGATGATGAATCGGCAGCTTCCCCACCAACTAGAAAAGAGGAAAAACAGGCAGATGTACACACATACACATACAGCCACACAGAAATCAATTCAGAATTTTATAAATGAATCAGCACAAGCAACACAAGTAATCACTAACAGTGAGTCCACCATTGCCAAGAAAAAAATACAAGGAGAGAAATATAGGCATTAAAAACAGTAAAGGATATGCTCAATCAACAACCAACATATGCCCATATACAAATGATGATCTACCAATACAACACCAATGACAAAGAAGCAAGCACTGAAATAGTGAAAGCAAGAATAAACGAAGTTTCAAACAGAATCTTAGTTTCTCATCATCAACAAAAAATGGAACACATAAACTGATATAGGAAAAAAAGAAAAAAGCAAAAGAAAAATGTTAAACAAATAAGTAAAGAATCTAAAAGACCATTGAAAACAATTTTGAACTTCCATTGTCAACGAAACCTCCAAAGCCTAGAAAAACAGAAAAAGTAATGATCCAACAGAAAGAAGTAAAAAGGAAAAACAAGCACAATTGACAAAAAACAAACAACCACAAAAATAAAAACACGTATACGAGAAGATCATCACGCACAATGCTATCACATCAAATGAATCCTCAGAACTACAATACGAAGCAATAATATAATAAACAAAATATGATAATTGTAACATTGAAAATTATGGAGAATAATGATAAAAATAACAAAAATAAAAGAATATCGGAAGTTAGAACCACCAATGAACAGACCAAACGATATAAATCCGATGTACCATAAAAAAAATCCCCAACAGGTTTAGAAAACCAACATAAAAGCCTTGAAAAAACAATAAATATTAAATAACTATCTTTAGAATGAAAACAATAGCCCAAAAAAACAGACAAAGATAAAATAGCTTATATTAAGCATCCTACCTATAATAAAGCTGAGAAAATCAGCTCACATAATAATACAAAGACAATCTTTAGAATGAAAACAATAAGCCAAAAAAGCAGACAAAGATAAAATAGATTATATAAAGAATCCTACCAATAATAAAGCTGAGAAAACCAGCTCACATAATAATAAAACGACAATCTTTCACATTATATCAGAGAACAATCACCCATCCAAAAAAGGGAAAAAAACCCATCAATTTTTCATGGATTAAAATCAATTTTCCATGAATTAAAATCTTGACATACATAATATAAATAAGAAACCCTAAAAACCGAAACCCAATTTTTGAAACCAAACAAAACACGCATACCTTTTTTCTCGTAATATGATTTTATACAGAGAAAGAGGTGGTCAATCTGATCCTTTTGTTCCTCTTGTTGGTAATCTGATTTAGAGAGAGAGGTGGTCGATCTGCTTCTAGAGAGGGGGAGAGAGGGCTTTATGAGAGAGAAGGCTTTGTGAATGGGGCGCTTAGAAAGAGAGCAAGAGTGGCCAGAAAGAGAGAGGCGAGAGAGGTAAAAAGACAGCGGGGGTTCGTTAGGTTTAAGTAAAGTGTTTTCTTTTTTTTTTTTTTTTGTGGAGGTAAAAAAGTAAAGCTCAGAAAGAGAGGATTGGGATTCAAAGCTATATGATTCGGGCTTTCCAGGCTAAATGCGGGGTCATCCTGGCCCTGGACCAAACCTAAATTGATTTGTTTAACCCAGGACAGGCCCAAGGTCCCGTAATAACCAAGCCAGCCCAGAATACCCAAATCCAGCCCAGACCATTGGCAGGGTAATATTTATAATTATTTAAAGGGTGTGGTTTGCATAAGGTCGCAACCTTAAACAATCCAATTAAGGTGTACCTCTAAATTTTATCATAAATGTAATTTGGGTGCAGCAAAATTTATCATGGTGTATAAATTTGATGCAAAATGTTTTTAAGATTATCTCAAAATCTATTTTAATCTCTAACTATAAAATTTTAAACTTTAAAAATGGTTAAAATCAAGTAAATCTATAAACATATCCGTATAGATAGTATGTTGTAAACTGCATTATTTTTTAGACTTAAAATCCTTTTATTTTTTATTGTTATACATCTCGCTGTCGAGATGATCAATCAAAGGGTTTTTCGACATTAAAACTACCTTTTCCGATGGATTTTTGAGGGGCATCCATAGTTCTACATTATAAGGTAGCATCCTAATATAAAATTTTTTCCATGTAATTTTGATATCAAAAATTTATAGGATGGCTTGAGAATTTATTTCTCATTTCTAATTATAAAATTTTAAACTCTTAAATGGTTAAAATCAAATCGATCTACAAACACAAACACATAAAAATCTTGAAAAAATATGATCTAGATAATGTGTTGCAAGATACACTATTTCGTGGACTCGAAATCTTTTTCCCTTTCATATTCATACATCTCAATGTCAATATAATCAATTAAAGGGTTTTCCAACATCTAAACAATATTTTATGATGGATTTTTTAGATGAATCTTTAATTTTATATTTGAAGGTTGTAACTTTGTATAAACTTTTTCTTTATTTAAAACACAGTGGAAAAGCAATAAGCGGATGGATGGTTTCATGTAGATATTTATGTAAAATTATATCATAAATCAATTAAATCTGTTAGAGAGGTGAAACACATAAAATGGGTGTAGATATTTATGCAAAGTTATATCATAAATCTATTAAAATTATTAAAGAGGTGAAACACATCAAATGATAGTTTAAGTATGGCATATAATCTGAAAATTCTCAATGAAACCACTTGTAAATAATATATTTAGTTAAATTCACTAGAAAAATAGTGCGTAGATGGAAGGTTTCATGTAGATATTTTCCTAAAATTATCAATATAAAATTTAAATAAATAATTTATAAGATTTGACAAGTAACCTTTCCCCTCTATAATTGTATCTTCAACAACTACGGATATTGAAAGGATATTCTTTTATAAAATAAAATAAAAATTTGTCAAAACTAGAATATATATATATACACCCCTTTATATTTATACTTCATACTACGGATTTTGAAT